CCTGCTCCCTTTGCCTGTAACTGTCTTTCCTCTTGCCCAGCTCCTTGGAGCTCCTTTCTGTCAGATTGGATGCTTCCCAATTCAAATGGACTTTTGCTCAAGTAAACTTAGCATTTTTATGAAGCCTTGGTTTATTTTTTAACAGACCTCATGCAAATGACCCTAGGCCCTAGTGCCCCATGTATAAAACGGTTATAGTAGTCATACCATTCTTCTAGAGTTTAAGGACCCAATAAGGTACTGTACTTAAGGGGAAGGAGTTCAAGGCAATCTCAAGTTTATCAGTCTCTTCTTTTATGTTGTCTTATGTAGCAGAATCATCTCTACCCCAAAGGAATAAAGAGTCTCCTGTTTTCCTCTTCCAAATTCTTTTACAGCTTTGATTTTTTTTTTTTTAATCCTCACTGGAGGATATTTTTTCCCCCATTGATTTTAGAGAGAGTGGGAGGGAGAGAGGAGAGAGAGAGAAACATCAATGTGAGAGAGCCACATCAATTGGTTGCCTCCCGCACGTACCCCAACTGGGGCGGGGAACCTGCAACCCAGGTACGTGCCCTTGACCAGAATGAACCCTCCACCCTTCGGTTCGAGGGCCGGCGCTCTAACCACTGAGCACCGGCTATCAGCCAGGGCGATAGCTCTGTGTTTTGCTTTTTTTCACAGATGATATGCAAATCGGTAGCCAACCATCCCAACACGTTTCCCTGACTAGTGAGCCCTTTGGCCACTGACTTGATCACCTGTGTCTTCTTCCAGCTGCGCAGGCGTCTGTTTCTGGACACGCTCTGCCTACCGATCTAGTCCTGAGCCGACACCACTTCCTGCAGAACAAGCAGGGCTCGCAAACGACCAGCCTTTTTTGTCGTTTCTTTACAGAGCCGGCGTGGCTTTTCTCGCACTCTTCTTTTTTCTCAGTGTAGCCTATTAAAAATACATCCCGGTGGGCTCCTGCATGGACCATCGAAACTCACTTGGAGGAAAACGGGCGTGTTCACAGCGCTGTGCCTTCCTCCCCCTGGACAGCCTCTCTCTCCCGGTCCTGTTTCTCCCTCCTCAGCCTGCCCAGGCCGAGCTGGATGCTGTCTTTCACCAAGGCCTGGACCACAATGCCCCTGGACAAAAGCTCTGATTGCCCCACTCCCCCAAGAAGAAAGGGGGCGCGAGACAAAGTGCTACGGGAGATGCTTTGAAAAGGAGCCCAACACTCAGTTTCAGGGAGACGGGCTCTTCAGGGCCGTGACCTTGGAAACGCAGCCGAGTTTGCCAAGACGGCCCGGAGCCTACTGGACTCCCCTTAATGACTCTGAAAACTGGCAGCTTTGTAGCAACTAGAAGATTCCAGAAATGACAGGCTTTGGGAGCTGGGGGCTGGTTTTAGCTTCCCTAACAAACCTCGATGGGTGTGATCTCCCCTTTCCCCAGAGCTGACCCTGACTTAGCAGGAGGATTGGGCCATCTGGGGAGGGGATGTGCTCCAACTCCATCTCAGCCCCAAACAGAGCAGGAGCCAAGTCTCAGGGTTTCACTT